GAATATGCTTTATTTTCTTCATTATTCATCATGAATAAAATATAAAAATGCTTTATTGGAGAGGATACACTGATGGCCATAAGGGGGCAGAGCAGAAATAAAGAAACTGTTGCATCAAAGCTGGAAGAGCTGAACTGACTTGTTGGTGGGAGTCGTGACGTTGGCGAGAATTGTGAAGTTGCTTCTGACAGTTCGTAGACTAGCCAACACCTGTGTAGAAAAGGAGAAGGAAAAGAGAGAGAAAGAGCAGGTGAACAGCAGAATATCACTCAACGCCACCTCAGCAAGTCATGACAAGCAATTAGCACTCATTATATACTGTTTGCCAGACACAACAGTGAGTCTTACCTGAGCAAAAGGGGTGACTATGAGATCTTCAGCATGACTGTGGGAAGAGGAAAGAGCAGTTTCAGTAAAATGAAAGAAATAAAATACTATATACTTTGGCAAATGTTTACAAATGTGACCCTGGACCACAAAACTTAAGTAGCATTATTTAAAAAAGCTTATTTATTATAAATCTCAATTTCGAAAAATTGACCCTTATGACTGGTTTTGTAGTCCAGGGTCACAAATGGTCTTTTAACAATATTCAGATGAAGCCAGAATCATCCCCAGGTGTGAGGAAATAGATTCAACCCAACATCAAAACATGCAATTTTTTTTTATGGCCATAATCCAAGCGGCAGTCACAGTGGTCACCGCTGCATGCTGGGAGCGTGAGAGTGTACACTCTTCTAAGGGTGTAACAGTATTATACTGAGACGGGTAAAGAGGGATTTAGTCGATGTGCTTAATGCTGCATGGTGATTCTGGGATAAAAGAACGTCCTCTGAGGCCTTTTAGAAATGAAAAGTTGAGACAGTAAACAGTGAGACTGTGCTGCGTGTTGAGGGAGACGGCTTACCCCTCGCTGTTGATGGAGGAGTTTCGTGACATGGTCTTGGGGGACATGTCGTAGTCGGAGTCGGAGCGGTAGAGGAAAGATTCCCTTCTCTGACTCTGAGGGAAGGAGGGATGGAGCACCAGCCCAGGACTCGCCTGCGAAGAGGGCCCATTCTCCCCATCATAGCTGTACAGAGAGAGAGAAACCAAAATGACAGGGAGAGAAAGTAAAAATGCATGTCTTGTCATTTAGCTCGAACAAAGCTTTGCCAGTGGCAGCATTAGATTTCCAGTCTCTGGCCAACACAGCACAAATAGAGATGTGGAACACAAACAATCGTGATTGCCTCTTACTCTAGATACAGCAAACGCTCTCTGAATGTATAAAGAGCTGATGAAGACTGTGTCACCCTGAACAACCATTAAAGGAAATCACCAGCCTAATCAGAGAAGAATCCTCAGCCGCCACTTCACAATTTATATTCTATGAGCACTTTGTGGCTTAAAGAAATAGTTCACGCAAAAATGAAAAATCTGTTATTATCTGCTTACCCACATGTCACCAAAGCCATATGCATATCCTTTTTTGTGTGTGAAATAGAAAAGGATTTTTCTTTTCAAATAGTAGAGCATGGCACTAGCAATGCCAAAATCATGCGTTTGATTCCCAGAGTGTGCATAAACTGATAAAAATATATACTTTGAATGAAATGTAAGTCACTTTGTATAAAACTGTGCCAAATGCATAAATGTAAGTTGCATGTGCTGTAATAAATAAATAATAAATGTGACATGTCAGTTTAAACATGCAAAATATAAAACTAGGATATGCCATGGAACATTTTCTATTCTTAATACTTTAGAAAGCGTGGAATATGGTGATGTGGACTTCTTTTATGGTGTCTTTTTTTGGTCCTTCATATTTCACAGAAAAATAACTATAAAGGTTAGGGTTATAAAGGGTGAGTTAATAATGGCATAATTTTAATTTTGGGTGAACTGCTGCTTTAAGCTTTGCACTAAACACAGACATCTGTGGAAAGACTAATCCACACAGTTTTAGCATTAAACATGTGACTAGTGGAAAAGTACCGGATACAGTGTCTGACCCCATCTGGGGTTATAATAGACGCACTGTATTTGTTCAGTTATCGTGGCACTGTGATAATGAATGAAGACTAGTCATCCGGAGAGCCTAATGACTGCAGAGCTGAAAGTGAGCATGAAACCTATTGCAGGTCATTGGTCTGTAGTAAACAAGGCATATAATGCCACCAAATCGAATGCAAAAGCAGATATAATAAAGGACAGGGGGAATATTGGAACAGTGCAAAGTACACAGCTCATCCTTGAACCATTTGGCTGGGATCACCAGAGCCTCAAACATCTAAAAAAGTATCTGCCCATGGAGCTCATAGCGGGGTCAGGGGTCCAAAGCAAGGAAGCCAAGCAGAAGAAAGAGAGGGCTTTTGCATGATTCCTAATTCCTCAGCTCTGGTTCCAGCCTCCTCTGAGTCATGCTGGGAATTATGGGTACCAGCACCAGCGAAACCTCAAACCAAAGTCTACACTTCAGAAGTGAAGCGTCAGAACTAGACGCCTGCCAAGACTTCAGTCTCTCTCTCGCGCTGTCAGTCACTCTTCCTCCCCCTCACTCCCTCTCTTCTCACAGACAAAATACTAAAGCCCCTCTTCCCACACGCAGTGCATGAGGCATCTGAGCTCGTCTCCTGCCCCTAAATGCAGAACTGAAGGTACTTTTTAGCCTGTGGCTATGGAAAGCTCCTGTTTCTGCGTGGCAGCTGGTGAGCCGGATCTGGACTACGCCTAGGTTCAAATAGTTTTTATGCCAGTTTTTACATTTTCTTTATCACACAGACGTGCTACAGCACTTGAAACGTGCCTGAGCTGGTTCTTTCTAGCAGCTGCCATCCCCTCTCTCTGGAGATCCCGAGTGATGTGAATCCACAGTAAACAGGCCCTGCCTGTCCTCTCTACATGCCCCTCGAGACAAACACCACCTCGGGCTCTTGACCTACACCTCCTCTTCCCTCTCCATATCGCACTTCTTCTGCTTCCATCTAAAACCTTCCCTTTTACAGTTGCTCCTTCTGTTTTTCCCGCTCTCACACTCCTTATCTCGCAGCTCACAGAATTCCTCTCGCAGCGATGGGAAGACCGAGCGACATGAGCGACAGAAGATGGAGTGCACAAATACTTAAAAAAAGCTTGAGGAGAGCAAAAACATGAAGGAGGAGAGGAAGAGCAAGAGGGAGGGGGGTGACTCATGGCCTATCTAAATATTTACATGCCCTAGGTGCATATACGGCTTCTTCCAAAACCATTTTATTTTTCCAGCAACAACTGCAACTCCAATTACACATGACAACACACAGTTGACCTTAAAGAGTCAACGTACCACTGCCTGTCACTATCTGCATAACTACAGCAGTCAGGCTTTACTGCGCAGTCCAAATAGCAGCTTTCTGTAAACCCATTTCCTATAATGAAGAACAAGCTCTTTTTTTCAACATTAACACGGCGCCTTTCGCTCAGAGTGTGTTGCTTTTCTAGCACTGTATTCATGCCTGTAGAGGTAGTGTGTGTGTGTGTGTGTGTGTGTGTGTGCGCGCGCGAGAGAGAGTGAATGTGTGGGCGCACACGAATTCTGTCTGTGCTTCACTTGAATTCCTCCTGTAGTCATGTGACATTTGTGCTGCTCAGAGACTATCCACAAAGGAGCGAACAATAAGAAATGAGAAGCCTTGTCAACCAGTTTCCCCCTCTTCTCCCTTTTCTTGTGTTGTGATTCGAGCCCCTCTCTTTCTCTTTCACCCTCGTTCTACCTCCTTCTCTCCTTCTCAGGCTTTTTACCAGTCTCTGTCTTTTCTATCTCAAAGATCTCTGCCTTTCATTGCCTCCTTCTCTGTAATTTGTGTCTATGGCTGTGACTCAGCCCAGAATAAAAAGCAAGCAGAATGCATGCTGGGATGTTGGAGTTCTCATTTGTTTATAAGGCACAAGAGACACACTCGCTATACCCTCATAGATACACAATCAAAGGGCATTTTTGTGTGTTTGTGTGTATGTGTCAAACACTGCGTCGCTAACTCTTGGAAATCTAAAACTGAGCTTCAAGAATTGAAGGAATACGATATTCGCTGTTTTGGGAATTAATATAAACACCACTACCATCAAGTTGCACATGTATGTGTGCAAATGGCGTGTATTAACAATCATAAAATAATTGTGGAAGACGAAGCAGCAATTATCTTGCTTCAGTAATCAATAAGGGTGAAAAAATGCATTAAGCTTTCATCATAGATAATGTACTCGTAAAATACACACACAAAACACACTTTTTCACACGCTGTGAGTGCAGGATATGCCATTGGCAGCTCTTGCTTTCATTCGGCGATAACAGATCCCCTGGAGAGTAGCACTCTGGACAATGACATGATGATCATAGGGGGCACAGAGGAAAGGATTTGTGCCAGCTGGGTGAGTTTCCTATAAAAGATAACACATTAGCATCAGCACATCCCTGTGCCTCTGAAAACAGACCCTAGCAAATTGATTGGGTTGTTTATGTATCTTCTACGCCTCGCTAAATGACCTTGGAGTGACTGTAAAAAGCTGCAACCTTACAATAATTCCAGAAGACAAGAAAAGCAATTACTGCTTTCAAATACAAAGGTGCTCAAACGGATGCACAAAAAAAGTCTGAAAACAAAAGAAACGGTTATCCGGTAAAAGTCCTGAGGGACGAATTCAAATTCATAATAGCTCACACATGTGCCCCCGAAGGCTTCACACAATGAGGATGTCTTCCTAACGTCCAAGAGGCTGCCTGAATGTGACAGCACAATTAAAGTAATTTGATAAATGTCGTACCGTCCTCTACACAGTCCAGGAGAGTGCGCGTGGAGGCATGATTCTTACGTTCAGAACTTTTCGAGATGGCAGTTTTAAAATTAATTGAATATAAATATGGGCCTATGAGTAATAGAGCGTGTAATGCTCTAAAAGAAGTAGCTTTGAGTCACAAGGATTTGGACTAAAAGACGATTCGCCAAATAAACGCATGCACTAAAACTACCTCCATTTTCCCTCCGAGATCACAATCTTAATGCCACCACCATGTAATCCCAAATTTATAGGTGAACCATCGACCCCTCATCTGAAGAGCTTGCCTCAAGTACATATTGTAGCACTTACTCCCTATTTGCCACTACAAAGTGTTCCGGTAGCTCATTGCGAATGTTCTCACTTACAGAGCAATAATAAAGGAATTTGATTATGTTCCATTAATACAAAAGGTTTTAAAAGGCTTTGAAGTTTGACTCAAAAAGCTGACTGAATTAATTAAAACTTGGTGTACAGTATGTGAGGGACAGCATGGAGGATTTGCGGGCTCACTCCATCCAATGACCCTCTTATTGATTCCTTACTACCAGTGAACACAAATCCTGGGCCCTGGAGACTCTCAAGCTCCCTGAACACATGGCTGCAGTCCATCAGCGGACCGGAGTGAATTCTTTAAGTGGGAAGAGCAATTTAAAAAAAAAGACCTCTTGCCAAAAAACCCTTCATTCTCTCCCTTTCAGTTAATGATTAACGCCTCCCCCGACCCCCAACCACCGCCGCCCGCTCGCCCGTTCCCAGCACGGCAGCCTGAATGGAGAGTGACAGTTATTTCCTGCCTCCACTTTCTCCGCTGCCAAGCACAGATGCTTGTTGCTTGTGCACACCAACGCCCTCGATGACTGCACCCCCCTCTCCTCACCCAGGCATTTAGCACCTGGTTGATTGCTGCATGCAGGGAGGGGGCCAGAGGAGAGGGTAGATGTTGGGGAGTGGGGGGCAATCATAAAATCAGTGGCGACTGTACATGATGCTGTCAGATTGCTGGCTCTTTAATCAGCAGCTGATACCATGTGATAGGGCTTTTATTGTGGCGCTCTGTCCCTTTGGCAGTGCATTACAGCGAACTGTGTCACATCAGTCCCCACTCTGACTCACAGAGATATTTAATGGAGCGTGTGGAACACTCTCTTCCAGCAGCTAGAGTCCTGGCGCTTCCTGGCGTGAAGTCATCTTGCCGGACACCATGCTCCAGTCAGATAAGAGAGCTGGGGATTACAGCAGATTATCTGACAGACAGGATCAGAAATACCTCATTGAAAG